GATGGATTTGGATTCAACCAGTCAATGCAATTATTGGTGTTATTAGTATTTGTATTTGTATTTGTATTTGTATTTGTATTTGTATTTGTATTTTTGTATTTGTGTTTGTATTTGCATTTGTATTTGTGTTTGTGTTTGTATTTTTGTATTTGTCTTTGTGTTTGTATTTGTATTTGTATTTGTGTTTGTATTTGTATTTGCATTTGTATTTGTATTTGTATTTGTATTTTTGTATTTGTGTTTGTGTTTGTATTTGGATTTGTATTTGTATTTGTATTTGTATTTTTATTTGTATTTTTATTTGTATTTGTATTTGTATTTGTATTTGCATTTGTATTTGGATTTGTATTTTTATTTGTATTTGTATTTGTATTTCCATTTGTATTTGTATTTGTATTTGTATTTTTGTATTTGTGTTTGTATTTGCATTTGTATTTGTGTTTGTGTTTGTATTTTTGTATTTGTCTTTGTCTTTGTATTTGTATTTGTATTTGTATTTGTATTTGTGTTTGTGTTTGTATTTGTATTGGTATTTGTATTTGTATTTGTATTTGTATTTGTATTTGTATTTTTGTATTTGTGTTTGTATTTGCATTTGTATTTGTGTTTGTGTTTGTATTTTTGTATTTGTCTTTGTGTTTGTATTTGTATTTGTATTTGTGTTTGTATTTGTATTTGCATTTGTATTTGTATTTGTATTTGTATTTTTGTATTTGTGTTTGTGTTTGTATTTGTATTTGTATTTGTATTTGTATTTCTATTTGTATTTGTATTTGTATTTGTATTTGTATTTTTGTATTTGTGTTTGTATTTGCATTTGTATTTGTGTTTGTATTTTTGTATTTGTGTTTGTATTTGCATTTGTATTTGTGTTTGTGTTTGTATTTTTGTATTTGTCTTTGTGTTTGTATTTGTATTTGTATTTGTGTTTGTATTTTTATTTGCATTTGTATTTGTATTTGTATTTGTATTTTTGTATTTGTGTTTGTGTTTGTATTTGGATTTGTATTTGTATTTTTATTTGTATTTTTATTTGTATTTTTATTTGTATTTGTATTTGTATTTGAATTTGCATTTGTATTTGGATTTGTATTTGTATTTTTATTTGTATTTGTATTTCCATTTGTATTTGTATTTGTATTTGTATTTTTGTATTTGTGTTTGTATTTGCATTTGTATTTGTGTTTGTGTTTGTATTTTTGTATTTGTCTTTGTGTTTGTATTTGTATTTGCATTTGTATTTGTATTTGTATTTGTATTTTTGTATTTGTATTTGTATTTGTATTTGTATTTGTATTTGTATTTGTATTTGTATTTTTGTATTTGTGTTTGTATTTGCATTTGTATTTGTGTTTGTATTTTTGTATTTGTCTTTGTGTTTGTACTTGTATTTGTATTTGTCTTTGTATTTGTATTTGTACTTGTATTTGTATTTGTATTTGTATTTGTATTTGTGTTTGTGTTTGTATTTGTATTTGTATTTGTTTTTGTATTTGTATTTGTATTTTTATTTGTGTTTGTGTTTGTGTTTGTATTTGTATTTGTATTTGTATTTGTATTTGTATTTGTATTTGTACTTGTATTTGTATTTGTATTTGTATTTGTATTTGCATTTGTATTTGTATTTGCATTTGCATTTGCATTTGCATTTGTATTTGTATTTGTATTTGTATTTGTATTTGTACTTGTATTTGTATTTGTATTTGTATTTGTATTTGTATTTGTATTTGTATTTGTACTTGTATTTGTATTTGTATTTGTATTTGTATTTGAATTTTTATTTGAATTTTTTTTGAATTTGTATAATCGACACTGAGAAGCTTATGCTTATCGAGCAGTTTTCTGGCTCTTCCTCTCGATGTGACTACATCTCGTGATTCCTATACTTTGAATTACAGAGAGCTTATGACTCTCCTCACGCTGGGTGAAAGTTTGGTAATGCCAGGAACTCGATTCACGGACCTTTGTGTTTATTCCTCTATTGTCAGCTCCCCTAACAACTGAACCGTCCCCGTACCATTAATTTACGTGAGGTATGCAGTGCTAATCAATGGAGTTGATCAGCATTCAAAGCAAAAACTAAAATTGCATTGTCATCTGCAAAATTAAATGATATCATCTGAAAATGTCATTTATAAAGAGGTTGAAGAGCAATGGTCCAAGTATTGAGCCCTGAGGCACTCCTTGATTATATGGTCTCCATGAACTAAAATATCTACTGACTTTCCCTATTTGTTTTTTGTCAGTAAGATTTGACTGTAAAATTTGAATAAATTCATACCAATTCCATAAGCAGTAAGTTTGCAATTAGTTTATTTATGGGGAGGCTGTCAAAGACTTTGGATAAATCCATATGTACAGCTGCAGTGTGTTTCTTAGCTTCTAGGCTAGTTTTCCACTCAACTATTAATCTTATTAAAGCATGCTGGGATGAAAATTGTTTTCTGTAGACACATTAAAAGTCAGAGAAATTCATAATAAGAAACGGAGACAGTTGGAGCTCTATAACTTTTGAAAGACTTTTGAAAGAGCTGTTAGACCACTAGTTGGTCGATAATTTTTATCGCTGAATTGATCTTTACATTTGTAGACAGGAGAAACAACTGCCATTTTTGTCAAACTAGAAAATGTTCCTTGTAGAATGCATTTGTTCAAAAAATTTGCCAAAGCTTCTGGGATCAAAAAGAATGTACAACAAGATTGACTATAAAATAGTGCAGACAAAGTACAAGAACATCTTTATGAACAGCCAAAGTCACAATAGGAGGAATGTGGAGACAGATTACCGACGTTGAAGGCTAAGTTGAGGATGTGGTAACCACGGGGGGGGGGGGGCGGTGGTGGTGAGATGCAGCCTGACCTGGAGGCTCTCGATGATCCTATGGTAGCAAAGGGTCTCAAGAAAAGCTTTATGGAAAAGTTGCAGGGAAGAGATTTGACTAACATCAAGAAAGCAGTGAAAGAAAGAATGCTTTGCTTTCTCAAGAAAAAGCCTTTCCAAGTCCTGCCACAGACCTCTCTATGTCTTGAAATTGAACAACTGGCTTTGGAGAAAATGGAGCCACACAGAAGGAAGAAACAATGTGACATCAATAAGGAGAAGAAGTCTTAAATGAGAACAAGTAGAAATGAAAAAGAGAATAAAAAATTTAGAGATCTGACCAGAGAAAGAGCAAATTAGAAAATTGACCAAAAAATCAAATTCCTGGAAGATAATTCAGAAGAAGGTCTGTGTTTCGAGGCAATGAAAATGCTAAAGAGGAATAAAAAATCATGCAATGCTATTAAACTGAGCATGGGAGAGGAGACAGGACATCAGAAGGTCATGGAGGAGCAGCTGTGAAGGCACTTCAAAGAGGTTTTCTACAAAGAAGATAAGGACTACGCAGACCACCTGCCGCTCAAGCCGCTGAACAAGCCAGTCACGGGGTCAGAGGCGAAAGTAGCCATCATGAAGCAAAAGAACCGAAAAGCAAGTGACCCAGATCGCTTAAACCGAAATACTCAAAACATTGTGCCGGGAACATGCCAACGATTTGGCAAAGATCATAAACGACCATTTCGAAAAGTGCGCAAGTTTTGAGATCGGAGAGGGCCTCCTGGTGCCATTTTGACAGACTATTTTGAAAGAGTTTGAATTAAATCTTGCTCTTAAATTAGAGCAATGATTCCTTTTTCTTTTAGAATTTCTCAAAGTTACTTTGTGTACTGTTATTATTGTATCAGTTTTTGAGTTTTATTATAAGTTTAATTGCCTTCTGGTGCACAGCTTATAGGGGTTTATTGTTTGCCCTTATTAGCCTCTTTTTCAAAGGTGGGTGTGTATTAACAAGGGAACAGAAGATTTTTTCAAAGAGCTTAATGGTGTCTTCTGCACTTTTTGGATTATCACAAAGTTCTAAAGGTGCATGTTGTAGATGCTGGTTAAATGCTGGAGAAAAGACATTTCACTGGAGTTCTTATAGTCTCGATAATATATATATTAAGAGTTGATAAAGTTATGTTTGATGAAATTTTTTAGTTCAAATTAACTTCATCAAGAATTGTGATTAGTAACTTCTGAAAGAATTTATACCTTGAATTGGTTGGGTTATCAGTAGCAACAAGTAACCAGATCTTTTTTTCAAATTTACCTCAAGGCAAATGTTCTCTAACAGGCTATCCTCTAAATTGCTAGTTCTTTTATATTTGATTGTATTTTTTAAGTAGACTAGCAATTCACAACCAAGAGCATTTATGTCTAAAGTCTGCTATTTGAAACTGGCTTGTAAGAAAGGTGTTATCAATTTTTGTTTCATTTATGATCACAATGTCAAGCAGAGCTGTGCTCATAAAATCTTTTTGTTCACAAGATTTGTTTCGGGTACGGTTTATGTTGAGGTGAGCAATAATAGGATTTTTTGAAAATTTGGTGCGCATACCTTTCAAATCTCTATAAGGAAGCTTTTCGTTTACTATTGAGTTCATTTCTATTTATTGAAAAGATATAGATGAATTCAGTCATTAGCCATAGACAACGTTACCTTGTGCAAAAATTATCTATAATTTCTTTGAAACCGTGCAAATAGGCAAGAACATTTTGTCACAAATCCACAGGCTTCTTTTGGATCCAGCATCCGTTTGCTGTATCGCGAAAAATCCAGAAACGAATCCACTTAATCGTCGAAATCGGACATCAGCAAGAATCTGATTCCACTAAAAAAATCCGTTTTATACGCGTATAAAATATGCTAATACCTTACACCCCTCCAAACGCCTGCAAGAACCTCCAATGTCTGGTCTAGCGCTATGTAATGTTACACAATATACTAAAAAAGTACATACAAGGAAATTCTCATTTGGCTAAGAGAGAGCAATTTGAAAATTTTCCTTTGTAACTAGCAAAATATGAAAAACACTGTACTGAGTAATGATAAATCACTGTCAATCTGTTGGAGTTTCCTTCAAGAAACTATAGGTTTTTGCGGACCATTGAGGAAAAGCAAAATGCCAACTCATACCTCGTAAGAAATACTTCGACATAGTCCTTGCAAGAAGGTAGTTTCCCTTCAATGTCGAACGATTTCCATTCGATTTCTAAGTAGTAACTGGACGACGAGTAAGAACTGGAAGGTTGGATGTAGAAGACACAGTATTCGTTATTCGAGTAATTTGTCATTGCCAGTGTTTGCAGGGACGTGGTTGCATTATTGGTCGAGCCATAGCACACTCCACTAGCATTTTCAAACCAAATTGACAAGACATGCCACAAGAGGACGAGGCTTAAGTTCATTTTCTGTGAATCACTAAACATAAACGTCTTTCTCCGCTGATAGAAATGAGATCTTGATAGCAACTTCTACACGCTATTGTTTTATTGAAACGTGAGATATCGTGAACTCGAAGGCTCAAGTTTCAACCAATGAAATGTGGAATTAACCTATTGACCCTTTCAAGCTACTAAGGAAGTTTTCTGTCACATCCACTTCATTCCTAGCTCAAAAAGCCAGGATCTTCCTTCCGACCAGACTAGGTGTGCATTATGCTAGAAAGTATTTTAACAACTTTTTAACTTGTTTTGAAATGTGGTTTAACTTAAGGTAATGTCATAGTCAACCCTTTTAAACAGTTAAATTCACATTACCTCTGAGTCCTGTTAGCTACCACATACCTTTGCTCCAATCTAACTAGCAG